AAAGTGCTAAAAAAGGAATAAATCACATTTAATGACTCATAATTATGCAGTTCTTACTCTATAAAAAACTTTGAATATCATTTAAATAATTTACTATACACGCCCTATAAACTGAATTTGATACCCAGATTCTCTGGTGGAGGGGATGAAAGGAGAGACCAGATTCTGAAAATCTGTCCTCGGACTTCTACACATGCAGCAAGGAATTGAGGTACCAAGAGTGGTAACAGATACACACACACACACACACACACACACACACACACACACACACACACACTAGAGAGAGAGAGAATAAGGTAAAATGTTTAAGTGAAACAAATATTTTCATGTGTTTTGATTTTTGAATAATCCATTAACATTTAACATACATTTTCCATAGTAGCCTGCACTTTTTTTCCCAAGTGTTCTCTCATTTCATTGTCTTCTTATCCTGCTTGGACCACAGGCATCTACGTATTGTGTATGCTGTTCTTGCCTCTGGATACTTACTCTATTTGCCTTTTTCCCCCTACCATTTTCACAGTATTAGCACCATGGTATTTCTGTTGATTTTCCTGTCACATTTGCATTGGCAAATAGCAAGGGATGAACTAGATAAGTAAGAAGTAGTTTTCAGACCAGGCAAAGGGGCAGAGAGCACCGACGCATAAGGAGTGCATGAAAAATTCATAAAGAAAAATGTGTTTTCTCAGTCTTGTAGACAAAAAAAAAGTTTGTTATGGCCTCTACTGAACAGAAATTCAGAAGTTGGAGAAAAATGTAGGCTTACAATCTAAACCAAAATACCATGATACTAGCCCAGACAGGGTACATGTCTGTGCTCAATGCAAAAGTGAATACATCTTCTGGTTTTAAGCTAAGGCAATGTTTGTCCTCACAACTCACACTGCTTCTTTCCTCCTGACATGCAGCATGGAAAACCTCTATACTACCTTTCTAGTTGAGAAGACAACCCCCTCCCCCTGCCCCCCCATCCCCCTGAATGCCTCTTTGTATTCAAATCTGTAGTAGCAGTTACCCTCTTTGGCAGTTTTTCTTTCCTGACATGTGATTTGCCACATCATACACCTGGAAGTTTCAGTGACATTATGTGTGAACATTTCACCAAATTCAGTTACAATTGTTACATTTGGTGAGGGACAGCAAGTAATCCTGGACATTGAATAACTACTGACAAAATTTGTTTCTGCATGCTGTGATAAATATCTTAAAGAAACAAAAGGGGTAAAATGTATTTGGGCTCATGGTTTTAGATCTCAGCTCAGGGATATCGGCTTTGATAGATTCCTGCCTATGACAGGGTTGAATGTCATGATAAGTGGATGGTGTGGAGGAGAAGGCTGCTCACTGCCTGAAAAGAAAGAACCATAGAGCAACCATAAACAGCTAGGAGCAAAATGTGTCTATTTGGGGCAAACTCCTCATCCAGACTTCCACCAGTCAGGCTCTAACCTATAAATTTCTCATCACCTCCCAAAATAGTGCCACTGAATAGAAATCATGTTTTCACCTATGAGCCCCTAGGGGTGCTTCCACACAAAACCGAATATCACTTACTTGGTATTATAAATATTTGTCATTTATCTTTCTCACTCAACTATTTCCTTGATTTATTTGTGCAAATACTAATCTATGTTTGTCAATCATCCTAGAATTGACAATGAAAATACTCTCCGTAATATAAAAGAATGCCCAAACATTTACTTTGATTTGTGATGTCTCACATTATATTTGATGTCTTACTTTTAATGTTTGCTGAAATCAAATACAAGTAATATATAATTCCTCTTTTATCATTTTAAGTGCTTGATTCAGTGACTTTTAGTACAGTCACAAAATTAAGGAATTCCTTTTCCTCCACAATATTCATTATATACTCAAAAGAAACTCCATAATTCTATTTCACTCGGCCTTTATGTCCTAGAATTCAACACATTATTTATGTCTTGATAGAATTGGTCATTCTGAATATTTCACACACATATGATCAGATTATTTCATTTAGCCTAATTGTAAGTTTTACTCAAATGACAATGTGTACCAGAACTTCATACCTTTTAATAGTTGTTTAGTAATACATTTAGGCCTAAGCTAATCCATCTGACTAGTGGAATTATTAATTATTTCCACTCTGACTATCACAGACAATGATGCTATGAACAGTTGTACAAATAATTTTGAGTAAACATATTATTTTTAAATTCTGCTGCATAGTGACTTCTTAAAAGCATCAAGATGCACTTTTTTATTTAAATTAGTAACAAGCTTGTTTTACATATCAGTCCCAGTTCCCTCTCCCTCACCTCTTCCCCTGCCTTCCATCTGCCCCCTGTCCCATACCCTTTCTGTTCTCCAGCGAGGATGAGGCTTTCCTTGAAGACCTAGGCCCACCCTTGTGTGTGTCCAGGCTGAGAGAGTTTCCCTTTATGTGGAATGGGCTCACAAAGTCCATTCATATACTAGGGATAAGTACTGATCCACTAGCGGAGGCCCCAAATATTGCCCAGGCCTCCTAACTAACAACCATGTTCCGTGGATCTGGATCAGTCCTATTCTGGTTTCCCAGCTATCAGTTTGGGGTCCATGAGCTTGCCTTTGTTCATGTCAGCTGTTACTTTGGGTTTCTTCAGCCCGGTCTTGACCTCTTTGCTCATCACTCCTCCCACTATGCAACTGGATTCCAGAATTTCGGTTCAGTGTTTAGCTGTGGGTGTCTGCTTCTGCTTCCATCAACTACTGGATGAAGGCTCTAGGATGGTATTTAAGATAGTCATCAATCTCATAATCGGGAAGGGCAGTTAAGGTAGCCTCTCCACTATTGCTTAGATTGTTAGAGTTATCCTTGTAAATCTCTGGACATTTCCCTAGTGCCAGATTTATCTTTAAAACTACAATGGCTTCATCTATTATAGTATCTCTTCCCTTGCTCTCCTCTTTTCTTCCCCTGACTCCAACTTCCTGCTCCCCCATGTCCTCCTCTCCACCCCTCTTCCCTCTTCTCTTCTTCTCTTTCTCATAATTCCCTCTCCCCTTCCCCCATGCTCCCAATTAGCTCAGGAGATCTTGTCCTTTCCCCCTTCTCTAGGTGCCCATTTATATTTCTCTTAGGGTCCTCCTTGTTTCCTAGCTTCTCTGGAGGTGTGGATCATAGGCTGGTAATCCTTTGCTCTGTGTCTAAAATACATATATATGTGAGTACATACCATGTTTGTCCTTTTGAAGATGCACATTTTAGAAAACTATATTTTCATAAGCATTTTTATAAATGTTGTAATCATTTCACTTTGTTTTGTTAGACTGTTTGTTCATCACTGGCCAACCAGCATTACCCCCAAATTCTTACAACTAAGGTGGAAATGACAGAGAGAGGACATAAAGTTGTAAGGCCAACACCTAATGTAGGGAGAAAAATGAAACTGTACTTTACAGCTCATATCAGCTCACAGTGACTGCAAAATGGTTTGCCTGCTTTTACTGAGAGGCAAGATGAGAAATAATGCACAACCTATGTACATACTAGATATTGTATCAACCCTGATCTTAAAGAAAATAGATGCAATTAGAACTGTAACCAATGAACAAGCATATCAATGAATGGTAGTCATTACTGACAGAAAGTTTGTTGCATTTTATTGGCTTTATCATATTCTAGGAAATCATCTGAAAACAATAAAAGACACATTTACATGAAATTAAATTATTAAATAAAAATTGTAGTCAATGATCTTCCATAAACAATATTATTACCATTAAATCCCAATAAACTAGAACATAGAGTGAGATAGAAAAATTCAAAAGAAAATTTTATAAATGGAGTAGGGGCATATATGTATATATATATATGTATGAATAAAATGATTATTGTGGAAAACGAAGTATTAGAAACTAGTAGGTAATTAAAATTCAAAATGTATGCATATATTTGTTTAATTATAGTTTTTAAGTGGTGTGGATGGGTGTCTTTGTGGTTCAGGTCATGGTGCTGTCCGGCAGAGGCCAGTGGGTAACTACCAGCTGTCACTTCTCCCTTTAAACCACAGAATCTAGAAGCCAACTCAGGTTTTGCAGCCAAACAAATGTTAAGCCAGCCAAGCAAACCAATCTTTGTTTTGGAGCTAGTATTATATCAGGTCAAAATCCAATTAATTATTAATACTAAAATAGCGATATAATACTCATAGAGGATGACTCTATTTCCAAAATGGGAGATGAGGCTTGGCAATCACAGGAAAAATTTGACAAATGAATTCACACATCGAACAATACTTTATAAATTTTAAGCAAACACATATCTCCTTATTATGACTTACAGAAAGTAATATTTGTGTAGTGATACTACCAAGCATGATGGAGGGAATGATAGAGATTTAGACTACACTAGGATAACTGCATTCCTTTGGGAATAGCTAGACACTGGCCAGAAGCAATATAAGGCCACAATGTACAGTCAACAGATGAGATTACAAACCGTTTCACAGCATTACAGAGCTTAGCCCATGAAGATGCCTTAGGCTTAAAATAAATGGGCCATGGGGACTAACATGTGCAGTATTTGTAGCAAGACGTTATTAGGCAGTTTCTCCGTTGGGCATTTTATTTATGCTTTCAACTACATTGAGTTGAAAATGCTGTTTTCCTTTCATTGACAGTGACATTGAGTACACTGAGGTTTAAAATAAGATAAATAGATTTGCCTAGACATGAAATACTGCGGAGTTTGTATTCTGACCCCAGCAGGTTTGCTTGTTAATTGATGAGAAGGCATCAGAGATATTTTAGCTAGAGGTTTACCAAGTAGCTGTAGAAATAAAATGATTATTGGTGGTATTAGACCTGAGCCTATGCAGTCTCTTAAGTGACCAGGAAAGACTTGCCTAACTTGTCTTGTTAGGTCACAGTCAACTCTTAGCAGTGAGTCTTTCTGCTTCATCTCACCAGCAAGTCAGAAACTGTCAAGGCTATAGAAAACACCACCCAAATCTCAACTTTTCACTCACAGAGCCAGTTAGGTGCCTTCTCTCAACGGCTGCTCCTGTCACTCTCAGTCTCTGCTGGAAGTTGATGCCTGATGACGTCCTTTCCCCAGGTGATCGGAACAGAAACCATGTGTGTCATTCTCATAATGTCTCCAGCTTCTGTCAGGAGCTAAAGTTTGCTTGCCCTGAGGTTTTCAAAAATATTTTTAAGAGGTGTGCCTCTGAGTATCAAAAGTATCCAATTTCATTCAGTTCTCAAACTTACAAAGGGACAGGCTATGGTTTGCTACACAGACACAGACAGACAGACAGACAGACACACACACACACACACACACACACACATATAACTATTTTTTTCTTCTTTTTCCTTTTTGGGAGCATTTTCTTGTACTCACTAGGATTGTGACTATACACATTATAAGTCACTATTGGTAGTTTATACTCTATTAGCTGAAAACCCCATAATGCCTTCCTGAATTATTATTTCTGAAATTAGTTTGCCAGCATTTTACTTTCAGTGCTCAATTGCTGTAGAATCTGAGACAGGGGACGTTATTCCTATTTTGCAAATTCAGTCCAAAATGTAGAAACAAACAACAAGAAATCCTACAAACAAGCTTAAATACAAACAGGGAGAAGGGAAGTTATTTTTATTAGATTTTTAATAAAATTACCTTTCATTTAATTCTTAAATCAGTATTTTTGACAACATCACATGGTAGGCGCTGTCTAAAACATACAATACCATATCAGGAAGCATAAGGTGCTAGTTGCACACTGGATTGCTGTGAAAATTGCCAATTGCCATTGTGATTTTTTTCATTGACTAGAATATCTAACAAATGTTCCTGTTTAGCATGATGTACTTACCCAACTCTGGGATATATATTAACATGTAATCTTCCCTAACATGCAAGTTCACTTGGAAGTTTCTACTAGATTAGTTTTGCATGCTATAAACTTGTTTCATTCATACTTGGATGATATAAGCCCACCTATGTGAGACATCTTGCTTTCATAGAAAGTAAGACTGGCACTCTTAATTTTCTTATCTAAAATTCTTTCTTTTTCTTTTCCTAATGAATATGGTCTTTGACAGTTGGTCTGCAAAGATAGCAGGGCAACCTTAGTTTTAGATCTAAATAATTGCATTACTGAGATATCATAAACTAAAGATAAGTATCAAATTTATTTCAGGTAGCTGAAATGTTAGTGACTCTCCAAAATGTTTATTGTATGTACAAAATACTGATCTCAATTTAACTCCCAATTAACTAAATTTAACTTACTTGACCCTCTTAAAAATATTATGAAGTGTATTAAGCCCATTTTATGAATGAGTAAACTATAAAACACACAGTTTGGAAGGTTCATTTTTTAGCACTAGTCATATAAGGTAAGGGATTCAAAATCATCTTTCCAATTTAACATCATTTCTGTTAGTTTCTATATTGTAAGACTTTTTATTTAGTATTCTTCTCTGCAAGTAATTGAAACATTCCATAATGTATCAACGGCAGATCCCCCTTAATACCTATGCTTTATGCTTCTCTCCATATGACTAATAAAAACTTGACATTTTCTGAGATCTGTAGTGTCCATGCTTATGTAGAACAGTGGGGTGAAGCTTGGTCAATAGGGTAGTGGGATTCTGTCATTATGAAAAACGTTGCTTCAAGGGTGAAGGCTGGTTGATTTTCATGCCTTGTCAGTGGCCTGCTACAATGTTAAAGTTTGCTGAAATGTAAAGACTAAAAGTTTATCTCTAAAGTCATTTCCAAAGGCTAAGCAATTAGTGCAAACTACTTTATTGATTTTTAGTAGTTTTGTGCTCCAAATAAAATGAGCCTATTTTGATTTTTATTTCTTTATCGATTATATTTTTGTTTGTTTGCTTAGAGGAGATTTTCTACATAAGTTATTGGCTCCCCTAATTTTATATTTTTATCATTTTGCTATAAATGAGATTTTCTTTTTATTCTTAGACATTTAATAAAAAGGCAAAGGGGCCCCATTTATAAAATGGAGAATGTGGACATATTATCCTACAAAGTATTACAAAAGCTTAAAAAGTGCCTTCTAAAAGAACTGGGCTTCAAATATGGTCTGCATTTTGATTTTCAATTTTCTGTTAAAAATATTTCAGTCATTATCCTGTCTGCTTCTCGTATTGTGCTGATTCCATTGAATGGCTCAGTCATGCAAGGAAGGAGAAATTAACAGATAAATTCAATAAATAATATTGGGCTGAATGTGCTAAGTCTCCAGACAGAGACAGAAGTAAGCACAGATGAGACAGGTAGATGTGTATCTTCAGGGGATAATGAATGTGTCCCAAGTGAGAGGAGGAAAAAATAAGAGAATAGCCAAAATGCATTTGCTCATCTGAATGAGAATCTGCCAGCAATGGCATCAGCCAAAAGCAGGATAATTGTGCACATGTATGTTCTACACAGGGACATTCAACACAAAGGTATTTAGAGGTGCAAAATGATACCTAGACCGAACACACTGGAACAAACCAGATTCCAAATAAGCTTAATAATGGATTATGTTTTATGTCCAACAGAGACTTCAGGAAACTGCATTACATTTCATGTTGAGATTAACCAATGGAGTTGGGAAGTTCTTCAGCTTCATTGACTGTTTCTTAAGGTACATGATGCCTTGCATGATACTAAACAATTTAAGTAACTTTCCTAATATCTGGAATACTAGGTGAATAGACTATTTGCTGAACATTAAATCAGACTGATACCATGCTACCAATAATGAATGCTTATTTCAAAAGAGAAACAAAGAATCCCCTCATGTTCTGAAGTGACTCCTGAAGTCAGTTGTGGGTTTTTATAGTTGTAAAATTCCCTGGATGAAAACATAAGTGCTTTGTTCTCTTGTTTTAATAATCTTTAAAAAAATTTGTAGTCTGTTTACTAAACTTTTAAAAAAGGTATAGACTACCACACGCATGAAGCTTCTTTGAAAGTAATCATTTGCAGTCAGCTATGTTTTATCATTATGAACTGGACGATTTTAAAAGGAGAAATGGGTGCTACCAAGATATCTCAGTGTTTGCTTCATAAGCAAGAAAACCTGAGTTCTTTTCCCAGAAACCAAGTGAAAAATACAGGTGTGGTGCTGTACAAGCTTCCAAGGGAGAAAAGCAATCACCAGTCCTTTCCAGCTGTAAAGTCTATAGACTACAAAGCTGACCAGCATAGCAAGATGTACTCAAGAGTGCAAGAGTTGCATTTCTATCTCGGAGGCAAACAACATCTGTCTGGTTGCAGTCAGGGCACTCAATAGAAGAGAATTCATGCCTGGTACTATAAATGGCCAACTATTCATTGCTGGTCACAGACCCTTAAAGGAAAACCTTCCACTGTCACTTTCCTAAGATAATATAATGTGTAATTGCATTCTACATACTTATTCTTCTAATTCCAGATAAGTGTAGCTCTCACTTCTCATTGAAGAAGCTTCTTTGGGGGGAGAACATTACAAAAAGCCACAACTGGTCAAAATGAAGGGAATAGCTGCCTGTGTGGTATCCAAACCCTACTAATAGGTCTATATCAAAACCTCTATACCCAAAGGTTAGAAAATTGTGGAAGAGGGAGTGGAATGATTGTAGAGTCAGAAGACCCCAATGTCTGCTGTAAAACAGTGTCTTGTTTTCTACCCATGGCCCAAAGCTGTAGCCATATAATTTTAACAATATGGTATCGCTAAACCAGATCTGCAAATGGCAGCATCAGTTGACATGCTAGCATGGATGGGGAAGTCCTACAAGTTTCCACCCCCTAAACACAGAGCTAGGGGCAATAATGTGCTAAGAGAGGAAGGATCAGTCTTTCCTAGGGATGAGAACGCTGATAGGTTTTCTAATCATCCCATGTAGTAATCCCTAAACACATGTATGTAAGCAACATAAAATGGATTCATCACTCCGGGCGTTGGTGGCGCACGCCTTTAATCACAGCACTTGGGAGGCAGAGGCAGGCGGATCTCTGTGAGTTTGAGGCCAGCCTGGTATACAGAGCGAGTTCCAGGACGGCCTCCAAAACAATACAGAGAAACCCTGTCTCGAAAAAATATAAAAAAAAATGGATTCATCGGACTGTATTTATATGTACGTATATGGATATTTACATGTACACACACAATAATTCAGGAAAAGATCATAAATTTGAAAGGGAGGTAGTAGACAGAGGGTAGAGGAAGTGGTAAAATTTATGTAAATAGAGTACTGATACATGAAATTCTCCAAAAAAATGAAGAAACCAAGTTTTAATTTAAAAAAAATTATCAGGCATGGTACCATGCATAGGGAGATGGCTTAGTGTTTAACAACACTAGCAGCTCATATGATGGTTCATTTATATATGCATACATATATACATATTTAACAAATATATATTTTAGTACTTAATTTTATAGATATATATTTGTTACATATATCATACATATATACTTATGTATTCAATAAGATATCCACCTAAAACTCATCATGAAATACACACTAGGTATTATAATGTATCTAATAAACAGAAAAATTTAAAAATGCAAAAATTTCAAGTATTCTAATATTCTTTTATTATTATTCAAAAGAGGTACATGGCAATCAATCCCTCCAATGACTAACAAAGAAATGTGTATTTTGAATTATTTTTCTCCTAGCGTGTTAGATTTGTACTTCTGACATACTTTCACCTATCCCACTGAATTCTTAGGTACATTATTTATTACAGATCATTCAGATTCTGGTAGAGTTTCATCACCAGTTTTGAATTCTTATGACTATATTCTAACTAAAGAAGTTAATCACCATAGCACCAGGACTAGAACTCCGGTCAGCCTTTAACATCTTTAATGGGATGCATAAAAGTAAATCTTAGCTTTTATGTACATTCTTTCTTCATTGCAGGTCATAGAATCTCCCTCTCTGAATTTTCTCTCTCTCCTTCTACTGGGATAGCTTTTGAACCTTCCTTTTTCAAGGCAGTCATCTGTGGCTTTCTAATGTGCTTAAAATATCACTGGAGGTAATTTTAACAAGAGAAATAAGGAGATTGAGTTATTGTCATCATATAACCACAAAAGGAAGTGGTAAGTGAGCAGAATTCGAGAGAAATTAAAAAAAGAATAGCATTTCCTTTGGTTTTGAAGTGACAAGTAAACC